AAAGGAAAAATAATAAAAGTTTAATAAAAAAAGAGATATTAATAAATATTTGCCAAATTCAATTAACATTAAGAAGCTAAAATTTCGAGAGCTAATATTTTAAAAACTACTCGTACGATTTTTACAAAACTTGATATTCTGGCATAATTTGAGTCGTAGAATCGCAATATGGAAAAAAATTGGTATGTTATTTCAGAAAAAGTCCGATTTTGTGTCAAAAAATACCTATGTTAGAATAGTGCTATATATAAATCTAATATATATCCTAAGTCACGCTTTCGAGACATGAATAACGCAGTTTGAATTTTGTCAATCGGCCCAGTAAAACAGGAGATATAGCATTGTCCCCCCCTTTTTTTTTTTGAGCAGTGTACCTGCGAGCAGTCACAGTACATTGCAGCATGACTAATGGTGAATGGCTGACCCAGCTAATCACTCCTCAGACTGTCACACTCTGTATTTTGGCTGTGTACCACTCAGTAACAAATGCTATATATGACCGCTCACCTTTCCATCTCCAGACACTCACGCAGCAGTCATCAGCATTGAGAGAAAAGCTTGATCCGGCAGTGAAGATCACATTTCTCTAATCAGACATGGTCTGCCTTAAGCGAAAGCAGCACCATGCAAGATGAACTGCTTTACAAAAATGCTTTAAATGATGCAAATAATTATGCTTTAGTATTTTTAAATTTTAAAAAGTTAATTTTGTTTAAATTAGGAAATCATATATATTCTCCCAATTCCTATACTTATATTTAGGATAATTTTATATTTATTAAAAAATAAAACAAAAAAGATATTTCATTTTTAAATTTCAAGAGCTTTCACAAATTGGAAAGCAAAATGTTTGCATTTATATGCAAATAAAAATTAAATAGCAGCTTAGAAAAAAAGATTTTTGATGCTAATAAAAAGTGATAAGAATTTCGATGGAAATTACAGTAAAACGTATTAATCAATGTATTTTTTTCAAAATAATGACATATTATTCACATAATTTTATAGAATTCATGTTCTGGAACACACTGAAAGTTTGCACTGAGTACTGGCATAGAGCCAATTCATAAGATTATTTGTATAAACTGAAAATTAAAAATTAATAATGAACTAATTTAATGATTTTTTGCATGGTTACTAAATTTTAATTCTTAATTAATAATATTTCACAAGGATATCAATAATGTATTCTTTATCATGATTCCATAAATTGCTTGGGTTAAAATTCTTTCAGGATATCAGTTGTAAAATTAAAGAATGCTACAAGTTAGTAAATCACAAAAGAATATCACTGAATGATATTTAACCCCTTAACTGCCGTGGGTGTATATATATGCCTTGCTCAGCCGATGCGTTAACTGCCCCAGGCGTATATATGCACCCTTCCAAACTACTATCATTTGCTTTGAGCAGCTACTCGTAAAATTATACGCAAAGCTTTGGAATGCAACACCACAATGACCTTGACAAAGTATGCGAAGGAGGATACTATTTCAGAGAAGTGTGGGGAGAAATTGAGAGAGGGGGTGTGTCTAAGCCGGTGAAGTAATGACTGCCGGTATTGGCTGTTGTTTTTTGCGTAACACTTTTTTTTTTTTTAATTCTGTGTCCTCCTTTTCGTTTACTTTTTGTATTAGTTCCAGGAATAAGAAAGATATAAAGGATTTTTCAAACCATTTAACTTTTTTGATTATCTTTTGATGAACCTCTCGTGCTTCATATTGTTACTGAAACTACCGTTTGTAGACAGTATATGAAGCAACACCTTGCAAACGAAAAATCAAGAACAAAATCGTGGCATTCAACCAGTTCAGAAAAATATTTTTCTGGCATCTTGTTTCCCAAGGTATACACTGAAACCTGATATTACACTTTACTGGTCTAAAAATGAATTGATCAAAACTCCATTTTAGGAGACCTTTTTATTATAAAACCCTCATTTGTATATTTACATCTTTTTATTATACCTTTACTCAAAACATTAAATTTTGTGCATTCATTTTTTTCTTTATTCTTTTTTGTGAAAGTAAACATTTTTATAAGTAAAATTGCACATTATTTTCCCCCTAATACATCGCATAACTGCGCGCGCCTGTGTGAAAAACCGTGGCACTGGGAAATGAATCTTGTACGTTTTCCGCGGCAGTTAAGGGGTTAAGGGGGAAAATCAACTTCAAATTATTCTAATTTATTTATTAACTGACACTTCAAGGCAAGTTGGAAATTATACCAAAAATCAAGTTTCAAAATGAACCAAATATCAAGTTTCAAAATGAGATGTCTTGTTCAATTTTTGATCAACGAGAGTTGAACTCTTTTTCTTCAATAATAAGTATAAAATTTTCCTAAATTTAATTAGAAGAACTGGCGGAATGTTTAAAAAGGTCAAAACATGAATAAATATAGGAAAATGGCATTCACTTATAGCCAAACTTTAATAAACAGCTTGAATGCCTCTTCATCAGAAAAAATCTCTAGCGTGAGACTTCAGAAAGTAGTCCACAGGCACAAAATTTAGTCAGTCAGTCAGTCAAGTGCTTAAGAATTGTGATACTTGTCATTCCTATGAAGTGCTTGAAAAGAATGGAATTGTGTGGTGGTACATAACTGTGCAGCAGAAATCAGTCAGTCAATTAAGTTTTTTTCAGGTCTAACATACTGACGTCTTTTCAGAAGTCAGTCGTCTTTATACAATGTGATCCTTGCCATTAATTTCTCAAGAATTCCTTGTAAATTATCATATTCTAATCAAAAAAGTAAACAACATGGCTTTCATTCGAGAACAACTGAACAACTTTTTTATAGCCTGGGGTTGGAAGGATCTTATCCAACCTAAACAGATGACTGCTTCCATCATTAATCCTTTTTTGTTTGGGGTGAAACCAAAAGAGAAAGAAAAGAAAAAAACTGAGCTTTACTGTTCGATTTGGAACAAATAATAACGTGCAAAAAAATCAATCTTTCTTCTGTTCTATGGTCAAAAAGTGAGGGTCAAAAAAAAAAAAAAAAAAAAAATATTACAGTACAAAGTCTGAGATCTGGACTCGTCGGGACTTCGGTGATTCCGGATATTAGATCATCAGTTTAAATCTAGTAAGATGGCATGTATAAAAAATAAAATTAAAAATATGAAACAGTAATTTATGAAATAATGAAGCATTTATGATTAAAGGGTATCAAAATTTAGAAAAAAAAAAGCTTAATATTTATTTGTCTACTTTACTTAACATTTCTTTCAAATTCTTTTCTTCATTTTTTGCGCTAATACTTTCTCTTTAATTCTATAGACAGACATAATTTCTTGGTCAGTTACAAAGTTCCATTGTTGAAGTCCTGTAATTGCTGTGTCTAGGATTCCAACTAACTTGTCAAGCGAAATTTTTTCGTTTTGAGTAACCTCTCTGTCACTTTCTTCACTATCAGTAGCAGTATTTTCTGTATCTAAAACCATACTACAGATTTCACCATCCGTTAACAGATTGATGATTGAGGAGCATTGTCATCACAATGAAAACTCCTTTTATATCATCTTCATTACCACTTCTCCACATTTCTTTACAAAATCAGTTAATTAGAAAATTTCACCTTTGGTTTGCAATATTCAAACACTTTCAGACTCGTATTTATCATCTTAAAATTTAGCTATCGTTATACATATTTGGCAATGTATCATGAGATTGATGACTTAAAGACAAGTTGTTCCACTAAATTTTATCTTGCTTCTATTGCGCACTGAGACAATTTAAGCCTGAATTGTATTAGTTTAGTTATTTATTATGCTTATGCCTATTCCTTACACATGCTTATGTCTTATCTGAATTCTGAGTAAATAAATTCCCACATATACTTAAGGCTTATTGAGGGCTGGCACTAGAAATCTTGCTGCGTGATGCAGTCTCTACGGGTCTTAAATTCTGCTACCAAGTGCCTCCCTTTGGTCTTCCCTAAATTCTGCTGCCCTATGCGGCCATATGAGCTCTGGTGTTGCTTGTAGGTTTATACGAATAACAAATCAGTTATTCTTAAGTCAAACAGCACTAAATGTATTCTTTTGGCCTATGAGTACATTAACAAAATCAATTCTTAGCACATTTAACTTAAATCTATAATCATTGCCAAGCGTAATGTCTACATAAAAGGTCACCGTACTCTTTGTTATTAAATTACTAATATAGAAAAATTGTTTAAGCATCGTTACATGAGTCATTACTCAAGTTGTCATGTGTTGATAAACTTGTGGTGATGAAAGCAAAAGATAATAAATAATGATTAACCAGGTTGGCATCAGGGATATAAAATATTAGGTGTAAAATCAAGGATGTTTCTATGTAGAATGTTTCCGTTTGAGATGTAGTATGCAAAGCAGATATGCAGCTATGGAGCCAAATTATTAATCATACAAGTTTATGCTAAAATGATTGTGTCTTCAATAATAAAGTATTTTATTTAGTGCTGAAGTGAAATTAAGAATCGGGACTCTCCACATATTTTATTATGCGGGGGGGGGGGATGCACATGCGTAAAGCACACACACAAAATAAATAAATTTAAAAAAAAAAAAAAAAATTTAAAAGTTGGTGCAGGCTTTGAGATCCGGATTTTAGATCATTCTGGATATTGGATGTCGGGATCGGGAACTTTGTACTGTATATTTATTCTTAAAAAAATATAAAAAAATACATTAAAAAATATATTACATATATATATAACATTATTATTGTGTATTATGTTACAGGGCAATTACATTTCTATAATTGTAGCATATTAAAGTAACAGAGATATTACTTGTTTCAATAGAAGAAACAACGAACAAATAAAAATAATTTTAACAGCACAGAAAGTTTTAATATTATCACATTAAATACCTATAGATATTTATTTAACAATAACTTACATTTTTTTCTTTTTCAAAAATTTATAGATTTATAGATTGAGTATTTATATTCATATGTTAAAATATAATCAATGACAACTTTGCAGTAAAATTAAATTATTCACACACCTGTCCTTCTTTTCTTTGTTGATGGATCCATTTTATTTCTTGGAACCCAACCTCTGTTGACTAGAATAGTTATGCTAAAATAGGAAATAAAAAATTTTATGAATATATATTAATTTGAAATAAAAGAATAAAAAGAGTAAAATTGTGCTGCTGCATTCATTGCTAATTTACCACTCACACTCACAATCTGTTTTTAGGAAACTACAAATATATCAAGTAATCAAAGACTCTTGTACTTATGTATGTAAGCAAATTAAAAGATGGGATAAGTGATGAATGAGAAGATTTACATGATCACATTACATGAATAAAACAGAACTTAAATGAAGAAATACTCAAAGAAAGAATTGCACACAACACAGAATTAGAAGGTTTAAAAAAAAGTAGGCAGACAGCTGCAAATCTTAGTCACATGGTTTGGGGAATGTAGAAATGATAATAAATATATGCAACAAATAAGATCAGTCAAGTAAGATGCTCATAGATTCTATAAGAAACTAATTTGTATTTATGTTATAAATATAGCTATACTGTTAATTACGTAGAAATAATAAATACTGTACAACAAAAAAGGGAGGGAAATGTGCAATCTGAAAACTTCTTACTGGAGTCCAACATCTGGAAAAAAAATCATAAAAAAGTTTATACGAGGGCCATCCAGGAAGTAGATTACGTTTCCGTCTGTGTCCGCTAGGGGCGGGGCTAGCGCGGCCATCTTGGGGTCAGAGCGTTGCGCAGCTCAGTCTGCATCTAGCCGTGCTAGTGAGAGGTTCGTGCTGTGCTCCGTTCAGATACTGTGACGGTTTGAAATGTCTGCGTTAATTGAAAATCCCGCGAGCTGCGAGGTGCACTCAGTAATAAGGTTTCTGACTGTAAAAAACTGTAAACCGATAGAAATCTATCGGCAGCTTCGTGAAGTGTATGGGGACAACATTATCACTGAAGGTGGAGTGCGTCAGTGAGTCATAAGATTTCAAAATGGCCGAACCAATGTTCACGACGAAGATCGAAGTGGGAGACCCAGCATAGTGACCGCCGAACTTCTCGAAAAAGTCGATGCTAAAGTCCGTGAAAATCAAAATTTCACAATAACGGAACTTTCTTTGAGTTTTCCACAAATTTCGCGAAGTTTGTTGCATGAAATCATCAGCGAAAAGCTTGGTTCCCACAAGTTTTTGTGCAAGATGGATTCCAAAAATCTTGACAGAGGACCACAAAAATCAGCGAATGGCTGCAGCGTTGAACTTTTTGGACACTTACCATAAGGATGGTGACTCTTTACTCGATCGCATCGTTACTGGTGACGAAACATGGGTGAAACATGTGAACTGTGAAACGAAATTGCAATCAATGCAGTGGGGGCACACAAGTTCTCCCCAAAAACCCAAGAATGCATGCAAACAATGTCGGCAAGGAAGATGATGGCGACTGTTTTTGGGACAGAAAAGGTGTAATTTTGGTGGACTTCCTGGAAAGAGGCACTACAATAAACTCTCAAAGGTATTGCCAAACTCTCCAAAAACTCAGAAGAGCAATTCAAAACAAGCGCAGAGGAATGTTGAGCTCTAAGATCTTGTTGATTCACGACAACGCCCGGCCCCACACGGCAAATGTCACTCGTAAAGTTCTTGAATCTTTTAAGTGGGAGTGTTTCCTCATCCGCCGTACAGTCCCGACCTGGCACCGAGCGACTTTCCACCTATTCCCAGCAATGAAGAAGTGGCTGGCTATGCAGCGTTTTGATGACGACGCACAGCTGCAAGAAGAGGTAACGAAGTGGTTGAAGGCGCAGGCGGCCGAATTTTTCGACGAAGGAATTTCCACGCTCGTACATCGCTACGATAAATGCCTTAATTTGTATGGTGACTATGTAGAAAAGTAGTATTTGAGTGTGGCTTTCATCTGTATATAATAAAATTTGTTTCCTATACTTTGTTTATTTTTTTATTCCAAAACGTAATCTACTTTCTGGATAGCCCTCGTATATGTATACTTTTTGTATTATTTATTTATTTTATTTCATTACTTATATTCCGAGTCCACTTGCATGGACAAAACATTTTTAAGCTGAAAAGTTTTAACAGATCTACTACAGTTCATGAATCAATCTCCAGAAATTCAAAATACAGAACATAAAATAAATTTTCAAGGTAATAATGTTTAAGGTCTAAAAAAATTTTTTACGATATTATCATTATCAGTTAACAAAATACTGCTATATGGGGACTTCTGAAATTCTATAATAAAATTAAGATTTAATTATTCAAAACATAGTTGTGTCTAATTTTCACCAGATATCACTAGCAACAAATATTGGTTCATATATGAGTAAAAAGTATCCATGTTTTTTTTTTTTTTTTTTTTCCCCCCCCCACTAGATGATATTGATGCCTATATATCCGGTAACACTCACTCGATTGTTTCAAACGAACATGTGCTTAAAAGGTGACATTCAGCTTCCATTGTTTGTGAAGATAGTTTTCTAATTCACTGTCTGTGCAAAACGTTATATTGATTTGAAAATGAGTGAAATATCTGAAGAAATACGCTATATGATGCTTTTTTATAATGCTGCAAAAACATGCCGAAAAATTTGTGAAGTGTACGGTGAGAATGCTGTGATTGAATGAAGGACCCAGGAGTGGTTTGCTCGATTCCATTCCAGAAATTTCGATGTCAAGATTGGAAGAGAATTGTTCATTATGAGCTGCTGCTATCTGGTAAAACCATCAATCCGACCCTACACTATGCACAACTCGACCATTTAAATGAAGCAATCCAGATAGGGCGACCAAAATTAGCCAACAGAAAGGGAATTGTGTTCCATCATGACAATGTGCGGGAACACACATTTTTTATGACACGGAACAAATTGACAGAATTTGGTTGGAAAATTTTGATACATCCACCGTATAGCCCGGACCTTGCACCCTCTGACTACTATTTGTTTCGGTCTCTGCAAAACTCTCTTGATGGTAAAAAATTCGCTGACCAAAGTGCCGCTGAAAATCACTTGGCCAAGTTTTTCGACAGTAAACCACAGCAGTTCTACACCTATGGAATTATGAAGCTACTCAAAATATGGCTAAAGGTCGTAGATAATAATGGTCAACACGTAGTTGATTAACGTTGATCGATACATAGTTTCTTCCGGTGAAAGCAGCAAAATTTTTTGTTTTCTCATGAGACAAAATGAAGGAATTCTACAACGAAAACAGTAATATCGTCTTTGGGAGACATTTTTTTCTGAATAAAGTGATTGCTATTTTATATAACTCTTGTTCACTGTGGCACCTTTTGGCAATCAATCAATGTGGACATATTCACGATGATCAAGAAAGGTGTCCACAAAATCTTTACAATTAACCTCAATCGACTTCAGTAAAAGAGGAATCCATCATATTCATTCATTTTTGAAGGTTGATCTCTGCTTGCAAGTAAAATAGATGAGAATTAGCAGATGAATGCTAGTTTTAATAAAACTATGCAAGTATCTATCAATCAACACACTGTCATTAAAGTGACATACAAGAATCTTAGTTAGTCAAGAGAAGAGTCTCTTCTATAGCACACGTTCTTTCTTTTACTATTACGTATAATTTCATTTCGTAGATTTCTTTGACTTTTTCAGAAAAAAAAAAAAAAAAAAAATGCTGCTAGTCTGGGCATCCTCATATTAGATCATTATTGATATTGGATTCTATATTATTTAAACAATCGCTATTTTAGCTCTCCCCCTCAAAATAGAAAAATAATGTATAATTAAAATGCATTAAAAAGACCACAAATGTCAAATGTAATAGAATTATATTTTCTTAAAAAATAGCATTTCATTTCTTTATTTTTTTTAACTCAAAATCTATTATTTTTTAAAATAGTTCATTTCTAAAAGTTTTAGGCAAGCGGCTTATATAGTTGCTCCTTTTAAACTCACTAACAGTTAACACACAGTTGGAAATTTTTAAAAAATTTTGTCCAGTGGTTTTCAAAGAAATTGTGCATGCAACTGGGAAATTTATAAGAATTTCTTAACTTATAGCATACCTGCCAACCTCTAAAGATAAAAATTCAGAAGATTTCTCCAAAATTCAGAAGAACACAAAGAATTAATATCATGCTTTGATATTAAAAATATATATATATATATATACACAAATAGAAAAAAGAAAATTGTACTTACATTAGTAAATCTCAATTAAGTAGTAACTAAAACATTTATTAGGAAACATAAAACAAGAACTTAATGTTACACAAAAAAATTATTGCAATGAATTTAGAGTGCATTTTTTGGCTTTAGTCAAAAATTCTTTGGAAAATTTCCTGTCATAACAATTAGTTTCCTCATAACATTTAGCAATTAAAATGTTTTCTAGAGTTTTTGGTGAAATTGAAGAACGAAACATAGTTTTGTTTTTCTTCACAACACCGAAGACTCTCTCACACTCAGCATTACTGTGTGGCACATAAAACTCTTGCTAGTCTATCATATTTTGGTGTTCCATCAGCTCTTTTTATTCTTTTTTAAGGTACCAACGAGGACATCAAGTCTATCTTCTCCAGAACTGGCAAAGTCTTCAAACTGTGCAGCAGAAAATGGGTTCGTAGTTCATCTAAAGCATCATTATGGCATTCATTTTCTTTAATTGTGAACAAAAATGGAAATTTATCAATAAAAAAACGAATCTTTTCAAAAGATGAATTTTCAATTTGTTTCAAATTTGCCACTTCAGCATTTAAAAGAACTTCATTTTGCAAAGGAAACTTCCTTACAATGTAATCACAGGCTGAGGAAAAATACTAACACATTGAAAAAAATTCTTTTTTCTCATGATCTTTCAAAGAATTTACAAGCTCCCTGGTTTGATTTCCAATTATAAGATCATTGTCATCCGTTTGATTTGCCAAACTATTATAGGCAATATAAAATCAACACATGTTTTTCACAACGGACGGCTTTACAAACTTAGTTATGAAGTTCTTTCAAAAGATCATTAAGAATTTGGATAACACAGGGGAGATTTTGGCGAAGCTGATTGTAGAAGGGTATTTAAACTTTCAAAAATCTTAATGGTACTTAACACAAAACTACAATATGCTTTGTTCAAATCCGAAGAAAGAAGATAGAAAATCCTTTCCTCCCGGGCTAATAGAAGACTGTATTTTTGAAAAAATAATCTGGCGCCCACAAAGAAAAGAGTGGGAGAAACAAGTTCAGCGCATTGGATTGGCTGGTTAAGCGGCAAGTTGGGAGAAACCGCAGGTTACTGGATTCGAAAAAGTCGGTAGTTGGCGGTAAAACACGATGCAATTGGCAAAAATCGCTGAATTGGCGAAAAATTCTAAAATTTCGACAAAAATCACTAAAAACACTTGAAAATGGAAAAAAATCGTAAAAAATGGATTACGATCGTAAAATCGTAAAAACAAATGCATTTTCGTAAAAATTACGAAAAATTCGTAAAAGTTGGCAGGTATATTATAGATATAATTACCACAAAATCCTGTAAATGTATACAGCATTTTCTTATTACAAGAATATAAATATTTGCTTGTGAATTAAAGTTTGTAAGTATGCATAATTACATATTTGAACAATACTGCATACATAATTATCATAAATTCAGAAGCATAATAATTGACCATTTTATATAGATACAGTGTTTATACTAGAAATTAAAATTTCTTGAAATTATAATCGGCATCAGAGAAATTCAGAGAAGTCATGTACACAAGCAGGAGATTCCATTTTTAGCAATCTTAGTTGGGAAGTCAAGTTACCTTGCAACCTTATTAGCATGTTACTTATGTAATATTAATAAACATATACACAAATTTACATTTTTATGTGTAATTATATATTTGTATAAAATTGTACACAGAAGCATTTTATGTTAAAGTTAAAATGCAAATATAAACTAACTATCCAGCTCTTTAAGGAACAAAAGCTTAGAGCTATTTTTTTTTTCAATAACTTTGGCTCTAAAGCAAATTTTTATACTTATAAGGTATTTCTTCTTCTTAGGATGGCTTTGTGGTGTAGTAGTCAGCACACTCAACGCGGATTCGAGAGGTCCGTGGTTCGAGTTCTAGTGAGGGCATTGTTCATCTTTCATGTCTCTTTGCTTCTAAAAAATTCTAATGATTCTGCAGTGGCACCCAAACTAAAAGGGTAGTGGATGATGATTCTTCACCACCAGGATTTGGCAACTGGGTTATTCCTCCTGCCTTCTTAGTGTAGTGGTCAGTGCATACGGTGCGTATTCTAGAGGTCCGTGGTTTCACTCCTGGTGAGAACATAGCTTATTTTTCATCTTTCCTCAGTGGCATAGCTAGAGAGGGGCAAAGGGGGACATCTGTCCCCGGGCGCAGCATCCAGGGTGCCAAATTAATGGTAAAAAATTTTAGAATGAAACATTTTTCACTCTTGGTACACAGAAAGGGGCACAAGATCTTCAGTTGTCCCCGGGCGCTGAAAACCCTAGCTATGCCTTTGTCTTTCCTGCTTTGAAATAACCTAATGTCTCTACAGTGGCATCCAAACTAAAAGGTGGTGAATAATGATTCTTTGCCACCAGGATTTGACATAACAGTTAGGCCATGATTCTACACCACCAGGATTTGGCATTACTTGGTTCCCCTCAAACCCCAGTTGCCCTTTAAAAGGGGGAGTATATAAGGTATTTATCCCACCTTCTTACATGGCTTCATGGTGTAGTAGTCAGCAAGCTCAATGCGCATTCGAGAGGTGTGTGGCTCAAGTCCCGACGAGGGCGTTGCTCATTTTTCATCTCTTCTGCTTTAAAAAAAAAAAAAAAAAAGTCTCTACATACTGAGCTTGTTTTACAAATGTTGTAGTATTTTCCTTATTTTGCATAACAAAATTATTTTAAGTTTGATTTCCTGTTCTAAACTTCTCAACTTCCCCTCACATTCTCTCGCCAGGATGTAAATTTAAAATTAAATGAAGTGCTATTTAAATGTGTGAATATCTCAGTTTATTCAGAGTGTGTTTCAAAGCACACATTTCGTTGTTACTTCGCGGTCATGCTAGTAAGCCTCTTTGCCTAATCAGATTAGTATCATGCCAGTTAGATTTCAGTGAGTCCACCTCTTAGGTATAAACTTAAGTGTGCTCTTGCATTATTTACTTTAAATTTGACTTGTATTATATTCTATGTTTTAGTTCCCATCGCAAGTGGATGGTGTTTTTGTAATGCACGAAGTCCGCGCCTTTCTGTTAAATTAGTTCGAATTAATGAAGGGTTATTTTTCACCCTTCTGCCGTGCTGGTAATTTATTCACGCCTGTGCGAGAATTTGCCAGGTACATTGTAGGATCTAATTTAGTTTATGTGGTATAATAAAAATAGGTCTTACAACGTTTTGCTGTAAAAACCAAATTTTAGTACAAAAGCACAAAATTTCAATTTTATGGTCTATTTGAAGGCCCTGACCCCTTAAATCTGTCTAGTAAACATTTGTAATTTCCTTTCACACTTTACCTAAGTTTTAGAGACTGACAACAAAATACTTGCATGTTTAAAATAATTACAGGATCTTTTTTTTTCGGGGAGGGGGAGCGGAGTCACTGAAATGACAATTTATTCATTTATTTATTGTTTGCTTGTTTGTGTTTTAAAAAAATAATAGTATAGTTATTCCAGGTGTAATGATAAAATATATTCACACTATTCAATACAAAAAATAGTTCTAATATAATAAAATGTACAAAATGTACATACTTTTTATCAGGCACATAGAAAGGTGTGATCACAAGGACACCACTTTGTGAACGAGAAGAAAAAATGCCTCCACTTTTACCATCAGCAGTAGCGATTAATTGCCTTGGCCCCAAATATAGTTCTTTAGAATGATCAAACTCTCCACGAACGTGAACTCGCCGATATTCCATTTCAGATAACTTTTCCATTCTGCAATAATTAAAAGAAAACTAAAAAAAATGATAAATTTAGAGAAATGACATTACATCCATACTAATTCAGTTTAAAAATTAATGCAACTTGTAAGCTTACTCATCAGGTAAATCAACAGGTTCTATTTCTCTCCGCTTTTTTACACTTTCTATAAGATTCAATTTCCAAGTACGTCTCTTAACTTGCCACGTGCCAAGACAAAAAGTTGCAACAGGAACAGACTAGGAATATAAAAGTTTTAAAATTTTAATAGGCTTACCTTAATATAGTATGCATCAGGTTAAAAAATTACTGAACAAAAACAGAAAAAAAAATATCATAATACAGTCAAATACCAAAAATCCGCCGACCTGAAATCTGCCGACTCCTGAAATCAGCGCTGCCTCTCAAAATATAAACATTCAGTTTATAGCTGCTGGACACTGAGTACGAAATATCGAAGAAAAAATACTTACCGATTAATGATGTCATAATTACCGAATAATAATGAGTCATAACAGAAATACCAAATTACTGACATCATGATAAAAGTTTTTCCCCCTCTAATCTGCATCGAGGTAAGAAAGCAAATGACTCGCTCAACTCTTCTTTCAAGTTCCGATTCCATTGTTGTATTTTCTGAGCTTGTTTATTACATGAGATTATTTAGTGCTGCCTTTTTTATCTGATGTTGTGGTAAATTAGAATATTAAATTTCGCCTTTTTTAAAACAATTACAGATAGAAAAGCCCATGATTTTACTGCTTGCACGTTGAAAACTTAACTGTTACATTGACAGTAATCAAAAGTGCAATTCTGCAAAGATGAGACAGTGCTACGCCTCTGTTTATAGCAAAGGTAGGATTGCGATATATTGGTATATATACGGTAATAAAAAAGCTGCTGAAATTTTACAGCAACATTGATTCACAACCACCGGAATCCAACCGAATCTTTGTACGGAGGAACGGCAAACCTCGATGCTGGTATATATAATAGAATAATAATTAATCAATTTATTATTAATATAATTTAAGGCATATAATTAATATGTATTTTGATATATTAATAAATTTCTAAATCCTAAACGCGCAACTCTGTTCCAAGCTTTGGGAGTCTTGACTCTACTGTACTATATTTATACTATCTCGATAACACCGACATTATTAATCAGCAAACAAAACTTATGAAAATTTATTGAAAACTCTAGGCTAGATTAGATTATTTAAAAGCTACAAATGCTTTCCTATTAAAAAAAAAAAAAAAAACAATTGCCATTATTTTGCTATAAAAAACTGATTATTGATATTTATTACAATATTCAGAAAACTAAAATTTCATTTAAAAAAAAACGATCCTCAGACATTTATTATTAGATAAAAAAGAGTGGTGGACACCACGACTTCTTATACAGTCAAAGTTCGTAATCGGCCTCGTCGGGATTCGGCGTTTCGAGTATATTTTTTTCCATTAAGCTATGTTTAAATCGGTAAGAGGACATCGATACTTTTCTATACATAACAGATGTAACCGTAATTTATGAAATAAATAAATTATGATCTAAATGTAATCAAATTTACAAAAAAAAAATAATAATATTTATTTTGTTTACTTTATTAAACTTTCTTTCAATGTAAGTTGCTTCATTTCATGTGATAATACTTTCTCTTTAATTCTATTAAACAGTCATATTTCGTGTTCGTTACAAAGGTCCGCTGTTAAGTCCCCTATAATTGCTGTGTGAGATACCGACTAATTTGTCAATCGAATTTTTTCTTTCATAACCTTTGCCTTTCTTCCTTCGAAACGAATTATATGACGAGGAAGTTGCTTTAAGATCATATCAATACGAGTACATGCTATGAGCACATAGTAAGGAATTGTAAGCAATATTTTCCCTCCCTCTGCCCTGTGATAAGGATGTGCTGACAGATCAACTACCACTCCACGAGGAAATTCATAAAAGATTGACCAACGCACACTTGCTTTCTAGATTACTTGAATGTTATTTATATCATTCTTAACATTCTTTGCCATGCAAATTCAGCGCGCTTGTAGAAATTGCTCAGACACTACAAAATAATAATCCGCATCCAATTCGTGAGTAATATACGCATTCTGCACATAGGAATTCATGATTTTACTTCATCACTGCGTTCCACAGTCACGTGTTTGCGCCACTATGCAGCGTGTTCTTACGGTCGTAAACTCCGCGTGCGTGACGCAACTTCATGCGCAAAATTTGGCTTTGAGGTTCCGCATTAACGCGTTTGACTGTACGGTATTAAAGAACACATTTTGCTGCATTTCATTTAACACAAATCCCTTTGAATTTTTATTAGAAATAATAGTTCTCATTCAATTGATATTCAATTCTATATTCGACAGAGCAAAGACCTACAAACTCAAATGTCTTCATTAAAAATTATTAAAATACGAAACCTAAAAACACCAAATAAGGAAACAGTTCAAAAAAAAATTACAGCAAAGTCGTTAATCGGACTTGTCGGGACTTCGGCGATTCCGATTATCGATTTTTCCGGATTATAGATCATCAGTTTAAATCTCGTAAGATGGCATGCAGAAATTCTAAAATTAAAAATATGAAACCGTAATTTATGAAATAAAGAACATTATGATCTAAAGGGTATCAAAATTTACAAAAAAAAAAAGCTTATATTTATTTGTTTACTTTATTAAACATTTCTTTCAATGTAAGTTGTTTAAGTTGCTTCGTTTTTATGTGATAATACTTTCTCTTTAATTCTATAAACAGACATAATTTCTTGTTCAGTTACAAAGTTCCGCTGTTCAAGTCCCGTTAATTGCTGTGCCGAGAATACCGACTAACTTGTCAATCGAAATTTTTTCGTTTTCACTAACCTCTCTGTCACATTCTTTCATGTCTTTATCCATTTTTTTGCAGCAATTCCACTTTTTGTTTGATGGACATCGAAACATACTTTCGTTTTGTAGATCCTTTGGGAGCTCCAGAATCGGAAATTCTATTTGACATAATCGAAAGTTCAAGTTTACTTTTTATAAATTGCTCTTACAGTCTGCAAAAAATAATAAGCCGGATCCAATTCGAAGATTAAGGAACAACGCAATCATCAACATTAACTGATAATTAGATAATTTTAGCTTATACGTCCGTTTATAATAAACGCGCACGCGAAAACGTATTCTGCGCTTGCGCACAAGCATATGCGCAGTGCCGTAAAAGGTCTTACGCGCACGCGTAAACGCCTGTGCGCATGTGTCAACGCGGCGCATGCGCAGAAAGTTTTTAGCTTGAGTCCGGATTATGGGTGTCTGAATTAACGACTTTTGACTGTATTACAATTAAAATTAGAGTTTCGAAGCAAAAACAAGCAATTTGGCCAGTGCACAGGAAGACAGATTTTTTAATGCATTAAATTGAAAGTTCAATTGAAAAACTGACTTACTGTGCACAAACGGAATTTATAATTCTCTTAAACAACTTTTAAGTTGTTAATAATTCTACAACTGCTGCATGCAGATTTATTAAAGGTGAAGGCATAAAAACCTACACTGACGCTTGAGAACAATATAGTTCAATCACTTTTAAAGCAAAAAATGCATAATTTACCAACATATAACAATAAAAAAACGCTGAGCTCATCAAGCCAAGTAAAACAGAGGGAATATGTATATACAGTACAAAGTCCGTAATCTGGACGTCCATTATCCAGAATGATCTATAAACCGGACCTCAAAGCCACAAACTTACGCATGCACGTAAAGCCAGTAAAGCATTTACACACAGAGTGACAGAGAAATGAAACGTTATTGAAAATGAAAAAATTTCGATTGACAAGTTAGTCGGTATTCGCGACACAGCAATTACAGGATTTGAACAGTGGAACTTTGTAACTGAACAAGAAATTATGTCTGTTTATAGAAGAGATTGTTAAAGGGAAAGTATTAGGACAAAAAACAAAGCAACTTAAACGTACAACTTTTCAGCGTATGTATGAAAAGACGCCACAAAAAAGGTCTCTTCTGAATCCCTTTTAAATTGATTTAACAATTCATTTTGGAAAAAAAAAAAAAAAAAAAAAGTCTTTTATTCTGTCCAGACACACATATGCCACGCAAAAATATCATTCAAATGGATTTGAGAGTGTTCTAAATGGATATTTTTGTCAAAATGCGATACCCGAAACTTTTTGCAATTACAATATTTCCTTTGCTTCATACACGGAAGTAATAGTTACTTTACTGTATTACATTGCCTTTATTGTATTCTGTTTCAAACCACACTATTTTTCATTTTGATATTTTTTTAAATTAAAGTGATAATGAATTGTGTATGAAAATGTATTATTCCAACCGAGAATTTTTCATTGAAACCCGAGGAAAGAAAAGAACACTGAATTATTAAATATCATCCTTAATCAATCAAATTTTTTATTTATTTTAAGAATAAACAAATATATATGCATTCTTAAACAAATTAACTAGTTAATACATATTATTAATGTCACAAAACATTTGCTAGATTTGTGTTCATGGAACTCTCTGAAACATTTGTATCTCATTATTCTTTGCTACAATTACAACATACTTTTCAAATAAGAAATCATCAAATTAGGAATAAAAGTATTTTTTTAACATAGTGAAAAGGGATGTGATCTTATCAAATATAGACAAAAATATGTAAAAACTCTCAAAACAAAAAGTAATTATCTTTCTTTAGCCTCACTAGAAATCACTGATTACACAGATATATTTTTAATACCTTTCTGATTAGAATTAAGGGACCTAAAATTGCAGCTATAATCTTTGCTTTTACATAATATGGCATAAGAAAACTGCCATTCATGGACCAAAAAAATTAATGTCCCTTTTATTGCCGATTTTTTTTAACCGTAAAACATATACATATATTACATGCTAAGTTATCATTTTTTTAATCCATTCCTTAATCCAGCCCATTAATTCTTCTGTAATGACACTTTCATCTCTTTCCTACCTGATTTGTAATAAAAATATATGCAAAGCTATAAATTTATAAAACGCAGGGCTGTCATGACAGCGTCTCAGGCTTTATTAAAGTAAAAAAATAGAAATTAATTACATAAACACTATTTTAAATTATAATTTAAAAAAAAAATTCTACCAGGGACGGTTTTTTTTCCCTCTTTGTAGAATCCTGGAAAATAATAGGAGCACCACAAAAAACTGCCATACAAGCATCACCACAACCTGCCACAGCTCTACCTGTATAGTGCACTAACAATACCTATTTGGTCCACAGTATTTGCCCACTCTTTACGTAGAGAAAGGTTTTACAGGAGTATCTGTTCATAATTTAAAAATTAGGATAAGCAAAATTCCACTCATCTACATTTAATTTGTATTTTTTGGAACATTTCTGAAGCCAAGAAACAGTGAAAGAGATATAAAAGTTAAAGAAAGTGACTTCTTTGGCTGATTTATGACTAAATGGCATGATATTTAACAAACAGATTATGTTAAAGTCACAAAAATGAGTTTAAATAAGTCACAAACTAAAGGTAAAAATTTAATTGTTTCTTACTAATAGAAAAAATCCTCCAGGACCAATATTTTTAATAAAATGTGACTTAGAAGAAGTATTCCTTGAAGATATGCTGAGAATGCTTTTTAGCCTTATACCCATATATCTGTAAGCCATGTTGCTATAATTAATAAAATAGATATTACATATACATTTACGCATATCAAAATAAAATTTATTACATACAACTACATAAATCAAACCTTCTGTACATCAGCATAATTTTTTAACAGTATGGAAAGATTTACCAAATAAAATAAATTTAAATAAATGAAAAAGTAGTTATGTATTATAAAAATTTATTTTTTAATATGGTAAATAAAAATTGTAAAATGTCTCATGATAAAAAACAATGTTAATCAAATACAAAAAAGCATATAAAATATTGTAATTCAGTAATTTTTATCTAAATTTTTTTATGTTTATATTTATCGCTTATTTATGGGAGACAAAACAGTAAACGTGTTAATTTGAACAATACACAGAAAGCTTGCTCTGCTTTTCATACTTTTCCTGGAAACAGTTTAAAACTATATCAATCATTAGTCTAACATGCATGTTTATTTTAAGAATTAATTTTATAACTTGCTACTTCAATATTTCAGTATGAAATAATTCTGAAACAATTATAATTTCAATTTGCTTCTAAAAAAAATTCCCCTTCAGAAAATTTGTCACAGTTAAAACAGGGTGAACAGAATAATTCTTGTCTCTTTAATAGTTTATATTTCATTGAAGCTTAGTCTGTGTACAATGTCAAACGTTATCAATAATTATGACTAACTTCTGGGTTAAAAGCAATAAAATATTTCCTTCCATACAGTTCTTGCATTCTTTGCCATTTGTTCTTTCTCTTATTCATGCTATTGTAATTTTAGTAACATAAAATGAAACTAAATGTTGGAATCTTAATTGACTCCTATGCTACCATTACAGCATTTTCCTCTAGGTGCTTTAGTGGTAAAAAAATCTGTTTATATCTGCCTGATTGATCTTGATTTCTTCCAGAAAGTAGACAAAATATTTCTTTACAGTGGATCCCCAGGGGAGTAGAGCACCTGTGTATGTTGTTAAAACTGGTTTTACAAATTTGTCTTGCCTTTACGGACATAAACAGGGCTTAGCGGAACATCTAATGTCAAAACCCCAAATAAAAATCCAAACTGTTCATTCTAAGATTCTGGCACATGCTCCAGACCTGACATAAATCAGTCATCGCGCATAACCACTTTAGCAAGACTTTTATTAATCCATTTAGATTTTCAAATGTTTGTTTAACCTAGTTTTCTCTTTGATACCAACTAGAAGAGCCATTGACTTTACAACAGATCAATATTTATTGTAATCTTTCTGTAGAAGTAGAGAAATATTAAACAAAATATATTTTACTTTAACATCAAAACAGAAATTATATCACAATATGATTACAAGAAAAGTCAGTTTTCTTTATAAAATTCCAATTCATATGTATGATAAATTTAATAAATCTTAACAGTCATTGCCTAAACGAATTACCCCTACACAGGTCCTCCAGATCTCTGATTCTGCTAATCATGGAATGTTGGTCTGTATCATTATTCTTAATGGACTGCACATGAAAATCAAATTCTCCAGTACAGCACTACTGGACTCGCATGGATAGGTAATTTCTTAATACAGAATGTCTTACAGCACATAAGAAAATACCCATCATTAGTTAGAACTTATAGTAGTAAAATCTGATTGGAAATTAAGCAGAGTAGAAGTCTTGAGATACTTTATTGAAGACTCTTAACTCCCCATACCTACCTAAAGCTGTAAATACAGTTAATTTTTATCTCAAAACTAGCCATGACTATTTGCAAAAGTATATAGATTTGGTACACTCATCAACTTGCTCACAGAAGAAAATTCTCATATTAAATAACATGGACGAATCCTTCTGGGCCTTTGCCAAAAGACTAAAACAGAAACCTACTTTGAACAGGCTAATTTACACTAGAAATAAGACTGCGATTACTAATAAGGATAAAGCAGTAGTACTTGCAGACCATCTAAAAAACTGCTAAAATAGGACTGAATTCATGTCGCCCAAGGAAATCCTCAGCATTATTAAGAAGCTGAAAAACAGAAAAGCTACAGGGCATGATGACATTAGTAACCTGGCTATAAAAGATATTCCCTATGAATACTATTACAAAATATGTCAGTATCATGAATGCTTGTTTAGAGATTCGAGTTGAAAGAGAGCTAATGTAATACTTATTCCCAAACCAGGAAAGGACCTCATGAAACCAGACTACAGGCCCATCAGCCATCTCTCTGGCTTGGGCAAAATTTTTGAAAAGATCATCATGGCTAGAATACAGCCTTTCTTTGACAAGCTGCCTATTGAACAGTTTGGTTTCCGCAAGAATCTGTCCACAACAAAGCAGCTTGTTCACTTATTTGGATTTATTGGCGGTGCTTTCCACAATAAGTTAAATGTCGCCTTACTCATGTTGGACGTGGCAAAAGTCTTCGACTGCATCTGGCATGAGGAGCTGATTTTCAAGTTAATAAAACTTAACTTCACCAATGAACTCGTTCTTCTTGTGCACTCTTTTATCTCTGACAGAGTTTTCTATGTTACTAGTGGCAATGACACTTCGGACGAAAGACTGTTGCATGCAGGAGTTCCTCAGGGTTCAACTTTAGGTCCTATTCTCTATCTATGCTATGCTACGGATCTCCCCAAAGATGAAATGGACCAAAATTATTTTCTCAGCTGCTACGCCAATGATATGACAGTCGAGTAATGCAAGTCAAATCGAGTAATGCAAATCATGCAGTCTATAAGTTGCAGAAATACATGCCTACATTCGAAGACTGGTGCTCTTATTGGCATATTGACATTAATACTCAGAAGTCGCAACTTTTGGTTCTGTGTAAAACTTGTAGAAATGCTCCAATTAAGAGAAAATTATTCCTCTTCAATGAAGTCCCTCTGACCTAAGCTACCTAGCTAGGTGTAGTCTACAATAATAAGTTAACATGGTCAGAACACATTAATAATGCTAGAAGAAAGGCTTTGGTTGCTATTAACTGTCTGAGATCACTCTTAGGAAACTTCTCGAAGCTCAGCTTACATAAAAAGCTTGGCATTTATGCGGCCATGATTAGGCCAATTTTCTCATACGCCTTACCCGTCTGGGCAACTGTCTCTCAAAAAGACATTGCGAAATTACAAATTGTTCAAAATAAATATCTCAGGCTCATTACTGATGCCCACTTCTTTGTCAGCAACGACACGCTTCACAAGGATCTTAAAGTGGAAAGAGTGGAGGAGTTCTTAAATCGCACGAATGAAAAATTCTTCAGTAAAGCCCTTGACTGTAATCATCTTTCTAAGCTCCAAGTGCTTAATTATCAAGTGCTTCAAGAAGACAAAAGATATCGTCCTTTTGTGGCTCATCTCACCCGAGACTCTAACTTCCCTACATGACCACCTACATCTTTGACTTGCTGTACGTTACAATTACCTCCTTCTCATTCAAATGTACTCATTTTACTTTCAGAGGTATTCTCTCACTAGTTTGTCTTGTTTATCTCTATAATGACGTGTTTCTTTGTTATTGATCTTGTGTGCTACTGATATGTTTCGCTCTGTCCTGTTATGCCTTTCTGTTGGTCTCGTGTCTCCTTGCAAGTCTTAAGTCACCTCCTGCTATTTCATTAGCCTGGATCTCATCTGCTATGACCTTGCTACAGTATGTGGCTCCATCTGACTATGCCGGAAATGTCGTGTTCCGCGCGACAACTGTCAAACTTAACATGCTCACTATGTGGTCTCACTGACATAGCTAGCTCACTATGTGGTCTAACTGACGTGGCTAGAGATAGATCATCTATCCAGGTGCTCTGATCTAAATGATGATGCAAACAGCAGTTCTGCATACATTAACATTTTAATTATTTCAAGATTTTACAAGACTGCCTGACAGAGATTAATGGCTGAAAAGGTCTGGCATAGGACAAAAAAAATATTATGCAATGGAAAAAATATATTTTAATCTTAAGAAACCTGAAGAAAAAGTATATGATATGAAAGGAAAAATACTGTGATGAAGCTTAGCTGCCAGATTAGCACAGTGACAAACACCCTTCGTTCTCTTCATTGAACTCATTAATTGCATTTAATAACCTATGTTAATTCAATGAAAGAACTAAATGAAATTATATTACGGACGGCCATACCAAACACATAATATTTTTGCAAAATGCCCATCTGCGGTAAGGCAGATTCCCCGCAAAACAGGTTTACGGTTGCCAGATTCGACATGAAATCGCCATATGACGACAAAATTGGTAATCTATCATAAATGGAGTGAGAACATTCTATAACGAAATCTTACCAGTTTTCCCCAAAAGGTTCTCAAAGGCAGGTCAAAAGCTATATAAAGCCTGCCTGTATGCGGAGTAGCAGTTTATCATGAGTGTATCTTGAGAGTATCTAGAGTATGGTGAGTCAGAGTGTGAGTTCAGAGATCAGCTAGACAGCGGTCTACTGAGTCAGAAGCTGTATTTTAGTGCTTCGCCGTGAAGCTGTCTTCACTGTTATAGCTTAAAGGCTATGTTGCTGATTGTTTAAGCATGTTTATTGGAGTTTTTCAACAGCTGTAAACATGTTTTTGGAACTCTTTTGAGTAATACTAATGAATAAATTTTGTTTTTGATACTTCAAGTGTTGTCATCAATCACTACAAATCCACGAACCCGTAGAATGCAACAATATAAAAAAACACAATAAATGTAATACTGTCTCCTAAAATAAGAGTGTGGCTTTTAGGTGTTGAGATGAGAATTTTTTAACTGCTTGATTTTCACCCACATTATTAATCAAGCAGTTAAAAATTCTCATCTCAACACACTAAAAGCCACACTCTTATTTTAGATTATAAAAATTCTGTTGTCATTCCCTTCTTTTCCATCAATTAGCTATAAAGTTGCACATATTTTGCAGAAATTTAACTTTCGGGTTGTTTATTCTCCCTATCACTAAAAATAAAATTCCAACTTCTATACTCAAGGACCCCATTCTGGATATGAATTCCTGGGGTATTTATAGGATTCCTTGCCAGTGTGGTTTAATTTACATTGGCCAAACTAAGAGAGCCTTAAAATTTCGCGTCAAAGAACATGAGGCATATGTTTTAGAAAAAGGAAACACAGAAGTCTTCTGTTGCTCAACATTGTTGGTCCGAAAATCACACTTTCAATTTTTCTGCTGCCAAAATTATTCAAAAAACATCTTCCATTGGAGAACTGGATTTCCTAGAGGCATTTCACATTCAAAAAAATCTTTCTGTTCTAGTTAACGATCCTAATTCCTATCCAAATTTGCCTTCGGCTTTTAGAGAAATTATGTTTTAGTTCTGGTTTCGCCAACAGATGGCGCCACTTGCTTATTCTTGTCCGGGGTTTCTTATCTTATCTAATCATTATTTCCTATCTTGTTCATTTGCGGTTTTGCAGCTGAAGATGATGGTTCGGTAAAACCATCGAAACTAGTCCTGTGAAAATTTTGTAGGTATAACGCTGATTTTTGTTGTTTGACTTCTGAATTAGTATTGCTTGTCTTTGTTTATCCAAACTGGATGTAAAGAATTTTTCTTACTTTTTTATTAAAAAGTTGACTTTCCAACTGAAAGATTTTTTATTGAAATATCTGTGTTAAATTGAATGTCCACATGCTTTATAAAAAATAGCAAAAAAAAATTTTTTTTCTTGATTTCTAATATTATGATAACTTTTGGCCCATGAGTTAGTATACACGAGATTTTTTTCGAAACATCCTCCACAGAAAAAACTGGACCACACAAGTCTATAAAAACCTGGATACATAAAAGTAACAATTTTGACTACTGTTGTCTTATGCTCATAAATTATTAACCTCCATGATTTTTTACAACTATAATTTCTGAATCATGGAATAGTTTACTAAGGAAAGAGTTAAAAGAAGTTTGATTAATATTTTCTAATGTATACTTCCAATACAATACATGCTCCTTTTTTTCGGTGGGGAAGGACAGAAACTCCTAAGACACTCAGTTTACTATAAATTCTGTACGACGATGAGCCGAGCCGTAAACATGATTTTTAGTGCATGTAAATTCAAGTTAGCAGACAAAACAATACATTAAGCATATGGTAGTAAAAATTCACAGATAATAAGCATGTAGATATAAAACTAACCGGTTAAACGTGATAAACGAAAATAAATTTGTATTAAATTCAAGTTAGCACAGAAAAGAATATATTATTAAGCATAGGACAATATATAAGCATTTATAACGGAAATAAAAGTTCATTTAAAAAATATAAATTACTATTAATATACTGAAATTATCTGGTTAAACATGATATACGATAAAAATTTGTCTTAAATTCCAGTTAACACAGAAAATGATATATTCCTTACACCAGCAGTGGTTTGCTAATTTTGATGACCATGGTCATGCATCAAACTGTTCTGTCATCTTAGATAATCAATAATATTTTTTTATTTCAATTTAATCATCTACAGTCAAAAGTCGTTAATTCGGACTCGTCGGGACTTCGGCGATTGCGGATTATCGATTTTTCCGGATTATTAAATCATCAGTTTAAATCTAATAAGATGGCATGCAGAAATTACAAAATTAAAAATATGAAACCAGTAATTTATGAAATAAAGAACAATTATGATCTCAAGGGTATCAAAATTTACAAAAAAAAAAACTTAATATTTATTTGTTTACTTTATTAAACATTTCTTTCAATGTAAGTTGCTTTGTTTCATGTGATAATACTTTCTCTTTAATTCTATTAAACAGACATAATTTCTTGTTTAGTTACAAAGTTCCGCTGTTCAAGTCCTATAATTGCTGTGTTGAGAATACCGACTAATTTGTCAATCGAAATGTTTTCGTTTTCAATAACCTCTGGGTCACTTTCTTCACTATCGGAAGCGAATTATAATGACGAGGAACTTGATTTAAATCATATCAAAGACAGAGTACATCGAGATGAAACATTAACTTAGTAAGGAATTATAAGCCAAATAAAATAAAAACATCTGCCCTGAAGATAAGGATAGTGCTGACAGACCAACTTCCAATCCGTAGCGTGAAATTGATAAACAGATTTTGGATTTCAAAACATACTTTCGCTTTGTAGATACAAATTACATATTAGTAAATATATATCAGAAATTCTATTTGACATAATCGGAAAGTTCAAGCTTACTTTTATGAAATTGCTCTAACAGTCTGCAAAAAATAATAAGCTGGATTCCAATTCGTAGATTAAGGAACAACGCAATCTGCAACATTAACTGAATTAGATAATTTTAGCTTACCTCCGTTTCACATTACACGCGCCTGCGCACAAACATATTCGCAGCCGTAAAGGTCTTACGCGCGCTCGTAAACGCCTGTGCGCAACGCATGCGCAGAAAGTTTGTAGCTTTGAGGTCCGGATTATAGATCATTCCGGATTATGGGTGTCCGAATTAACGACCTTTGACTGTATTTATGTCACACCTGCCATCCTCTGAAAGGTTATTGTTAGAAAAGCATTAACAATATATTATCTTGTAAAAATTTTACACCATAAAAATAGATTTATTATCATAATTTTAGATGACAAGAACCAATAATAAAAATAAAAATATTACTTAATTATTTAAAATGCACATGCACATTTTTGCGGTGTACAAAAACAAATTATTTCAGAGGTTGGAAACCTCATGGTTCTTAGAGCTGTTTAATAATTAAGAACACAACATGAACAGACATGTTACAAATTAGCATTCACCCCGAACTGAGAACCAGCATCTATCTACGAAAATATTTCTATCTATTCGTTGTTAAAATATTCAGAAAAAATAATAATAAATAAGAAAAGAATAATATAAATCTGCAACTGCAAACAACGTCAGTGATAATTCAACAAAATGAAAGCAAGAGGAATGGTTGCAAACTTCGAACAAGCGAATAGGATAAATCCGATGGGTTACCAGGTTTGAACTATTATTGCCAAAGTTGGCGATGTTTACATTTACCGGGTTCTCTGCAGAAGTGCTTCCAAATTTAGTTTTTGTATGAGGATAAAGCATTCACTTTCCCATAGTTTCATAATTAATTATATGAGCGGCAAAAGTTTACAATTGGGAGCCCCTTGTTTATTGGCGATTCTTTTTTGACGCCAAGATCGGCGCCAGGAAGTCACAATTTCAAGATGGCCAAAATAAGAAGTCGAAGAATTGCAGGTACTTTTCCATTTTGCCGGCGCAAATCTCGCCAAGCAGACTTTATTGGCGACAACATACAGCATACACAAATAAAAAATGTTAACGAATGTTAGTTCTAAGAATTTTTTATTTTGAAGGCATAAACATTTTAATATCGTTTAAAATTTTGTAAGAAGTCAATAAATAAAGACAATAATTTGTAAAAAAGACGTTAATTTAAGAATTTACTGTGCTTTCATGGTTCAACATCCTGATTCGCCGGTTCATATCACTTGACCCCAAGTGATCTCATCTCACATAAACTACATTACAAAAATCTAATTCTCTCTAATTATCTACATTAATTTCAAGTTAAATCTTAAATTAAATCTTATGAAATACATAAGTTTAAATGCAAGAATTATTCTCAATTCGTACGAATAGCTTACTCCGAAATTATCTAGAACCGTCAGTGCTTTACTTCACTAGAGCATTCTCATTACAATGGATGAATCTCATTACAAACCCTTGACTTCGCTTTTTCTATATTTCCGCCATCGGGTGAGCGGTGCGATTGCATCCTAATTGACTTAAATTACTCGCCCGCGAATGGCCTTAAGGCATAAAATTGAACTATCTGGCAAAAATTCTATGTAATTGCATGCCAGTGTTGAAAGAAACAATCAATCTGCTAAGAAATGGCTACGACTTGTTTTGAAAATGAGGAGTAAAAGGTTACCAGCGAGGATATTTTGTTTGGCATCATTGTACCATTACTGGCGACTTTTCCGCCTGCGCCGGCAAAACGGAAAAGTACCGAATTGCATAAGATCTGTATCCATGTACACATCAATCTGTTTTTACTTAAAAAAACATTCTAGAGTTGCACAAACTAGGCATTGCGCACTGCCTTAGATATGTCCATTTACACATCAATCTATTTTCATTTAAATAAAATCGGGAAGCTAAAACAAAGTTAAAACTATCGTGGTAACCAGAAATGAGGTTTCATCGCCAAAATTTTTTTTAAAATGTCGCCAATCGAAGGAGAACCCAATTCTACACTAAAGCCATATGAGCAAATTTAATGATAAACGAAATTTGCCGATAATTCATTACAACAAGACTGCTACATAAAATATAGAGCATATGTTTATCTAAAAAAATTACAGTTTAATAACTGTACCGAAATGATCTTTATATTCAAATTATCATTTCGAAAATCTAATCTGATGTAACCTTACTCAAATGTAACTTTTTTCCGTTAGGAAGTAATTTTGAAGCAAATCGCTGTTTTCTTGTTTCAATAGATGCAAAAATTTTAATTTTATTTTTAAGTGAAACATATGACTACGAAAATTTAATCTTAATTACAACATGCAAAATCTTTCTTTTAATAAGCTCGTTAAACTACGAAGAATATCATCTCAATATTATATTAACTATTAATTTGGTAAAGCATAATTTCCTTACTGGTGGATATTTAATGATACTTGTATGTACTTAGTATTAGCATCTGTTAAATTTTAAACAATATTGCATTTTTCTTTACATTTCTTCACGATGAAACTAACTCACATCACATTCGTCTGAAAACAAAGTAGACAGATGTCGTGTTTTGCATCCGCTAAGTCTTTCTGCCCCGATGGGCGAAAAATCAAGCTTACGTGTGAAAGAAAGGTATATAGAAAAAGGTACAATTTCGTATTTCAGAGGAGAATAAAAAGGAACTTCGTACATTTTATATGAGTTCGAAAGGCCAGGAAGAAAAGATGGGACAAAATTTAATAAAAATAAATGGCCCAAATGTAATACACGAGGGAAAGGGCCTTATAGAGAGAAAAGGAAAGGAAGTAGAAAATTTCCTACAATAAGATTGTGTCCATGAGGTTAGACAAAAGGGGAGGACGCTGTGTTCATTTGCAAAAATTAACTATGTTAAAATATAAAAAAATAAAAGTTCCTATATGTCAATGTGTATGCCTTTATCTTGAGACATAACTACAAAAGACACATAACATCACAGAGATGTACATACTATGTTTACTAAAGTAACATTAACTATTACCGTTCCCAAAAAATTCATGTATATTTCAGAAAAACAATAACTTATAAAATCATAAATCCCTACACAGTGTGAGAGCATACCAGCAAAAATAAACAAATTAATTATAGAGTTATTTTATAATGTGGGAAATGTTATGTAATGATATTCCTAATCCCCTACTGTGTGACGTATGATTCGTCAATGGTTTCCGCCTTCGGGGAAGAGAGGATTACTGGCGAGCGGAGAACGTCGCTCGATCGCTCGTATATTATTTCATTAATTGTAATCCTAATGTAATCTATTTGTAAATAGTAATAAATGTGTGTTATCAACTATGTGCGTTGCCTTTCCCCCACATAAATATTAGTTAAATATAAAATTTATTTATTAATTTAACCGTTGTAATTCATTATAGTACAAGTTTAACAAATTCAGTCACACTATATTTATATTTGCTCATAATTCTAAGTTTGAGACCTGAAAAAATTCGGGGATCATGGTAACAAATATCACAATCTATATTCATCGATGTTCAAGAGATGCCCTTTTTCTCCTCTCAAGAAAATCCAAAGCACGGAAAGGGAGGCTTCCGAAGTAGGAGCCTTATTCCGAAGGGAGTGACTTGCTGATAAGAACGGACTACTGATATGGAATGTGGCGTCTCTACGGAATAGTGAACTCGGATGCTGGAAAGCGAGGAAGAAAGACGTGTTTTTCTACTCTCTCCTAGCTTTAGTAGCGCACCCACTCCTCCACCGTATGGCCAGTGCGGGAGCGCCGGCCAACGACCTGAGCGAACTCAACGGTCGCCGCTTTTTGCTTATCTCACTGCTGCCTTTCTCCTATAAGGATTTATACGTTGCTTAAGTTACCCCAAGCTTCATTTTTAGATTAAAGTCAGGAACCTTAAGCAGCTCCAGCTACTGCATCTGTCTCGGGGTTCTCTCGGCTGAGAGTTAACCTCGTCCAGGGCAGTAGCCAACGATTCATTTCTAATATCTCGCCCACTGTAGACATTAAGCTTAGTTCGAAATACCGAAATGAATATGGACAATATACAAGGAAACGGATCGATGATGACTAATGATACCAATGAAACTTCCCAGAATACTGATACCAATGATGGAGAACTCCAACCAGCACGATTTTTGAATCAGGAAATCATCAACCTATTTAGCAATAAAATTACACTTTCCGCTGACACAGAAACAATCCGCATGGTCGTACAAGATATTCAAGAAGCTATCCATAAAATCCGCCACGTGAATCTCCTGCTTTAATAAAAGAAATCAATTACCTGTTAGCCAAAGCAATAAATCAACTACAAATGCAAAAGAATGAAACTTCCTCCAAACGTATTAACGATCTAGTTACCATGAACCAAAACCTAACCCGAAAAATAGATCAAATCCAGAAGTTTTGCGAAACCCTACAATCCGGTGGCAACCTTTTAAGGAACCACGAAAACACAATTCAAACTCCTCAGACTCAGAAATCGAAAATGACCATAATTACACAAAGGTGTCAAATAAATATCAACACCTGGTAGATGAAACTGATACAATGAACATCGAGGATACCGTCGAGAAAGAAGATATCACTTCCAATTCAAGAATAAAGAAACAACCGCCGATAAAAGTCAACCTCAGAAATCGAAAACAAACAAGAAAAATGATAATGAAGCAAAATCAAATCAAATACGAGTTCCCCCCCCCATAGTGGTCGATGACATAGTAAAACCCGACGAATTCATAGAGAATCTAAATATACAAACAGGCAAGGAAATTATAGGACAGATAAAAGCAAATAAACTACACATCTACACACCAGACGCAGATACGCACAGACACGTGCGTAAAGTTGTAACGGACACTAATCTCAAAGCACACACCTATCAACTTCCAGAGGAAAAAGTCCTCAAAATTGTTATCAGAGGCCTCCCAACTACAATGAATCCAGTGGACATTACCCAAGACTTAAAAGATAAAGGATTCAACGTCAAATACATCACTCTTCTCAGAAATCGACGTGAAAATAGACCAATGCTTCCTTTTTCTTATACACCTTGAAAAAACTGATGCAAATAAGGCTATACACCAAGTAAAAAGAATTGGCTACCTCAATGTTCAGATTGAATCACTCAAGAGAAAAAACGGACCTCCCCAATGTTATAAATATCAATCATTTTTTCACAGCTCCCTGCTTTGCACCAGAGATTGGGTATGTGTCAGGTGCGGAGGCCCGCATGCCCCTAAAACGTGCCCAGTACCACTCACGGAACCAGCAAAGTGCTGCCACTGCAATGGGCCTCATCCAGCCAATTTTTCTCAGTGTCCGGCACGCCCAAACCCAGATAAATCCAAGTTCATACCAAGTGCACCACCTAAAATCAACCCGTGGACAAGAAACAACATCCAGACAGAAACAGTACCACCTACTAATGCAAATTCAACACAAAATAGCAGCGAACCCTCCCAAGAATCCAATAGCTCCCTACTCTCCGGACTTGTCAACTTCAATAGTCTCAAAGATGCGTGGAAAGTCATTATTAGCGGAATCAAGCAATTTAAATCAGCAACCAACCCAATCGAAAAGTTCGGAGTCGTTATAGACGTCTTAGAAAAAATTAGCAACTATTTTTAACAATCCAATCAATAACAGTCGCAGCTTACTAAAAATCCTCTCTTGGAATGCGAATG